GGGTGGGGGGGGGGAAGAGTGGACTGTGTGGCAGTGATGCCGGCCACCACCGGCTTAGCCGTTTTACACAGAAGTAGGGGAGGAAGGAGTGAGAAGAGAGAGGAGCAGAGGACAGGGGCAGGGGATTTAAACTGTTGGCTGTTTTATTCTGTTTGCTCTTTTTTACCCCTGCTTACTTCTTCTTGATTCAGTGAGAACAAAACCTTTTAGTCTTTCAAGATAAGGAGGGGAAAGGGAAGAAGAGAACATGAATCTCTTTGAAAAACAGGAAGGACAAAATTAGCTTACCAGCTTTTCAAAATTAACAAGGTTATCCAGAAAAGTTTTATTTCCTTCGTGGATGAATGTTACATCTGAAAAAAATAAAGGAAAAGGAATTATTTTTCATGGCTTTGTTGTTTAATACAAAGAAATAAAATGACTAAACAGCAACAAAAAGAAAAAAAAAAAAAGAGGAAAGTATCCCATTAAGGATTGACACAATACCTTATAACAGTGGAACAAAAGCCTGGTATAATGATGACATGCAGAGATTATTAGATAACAACACTACGTACACATTGTAATGAGGATTTCCAAGTGGGAGCACGGATTTCTTATTAAACGTGGTCAGTGTTAATTCTGGGGTGTGTATCCTACAGAAGATGGCTGGGAGCAGGCGGGAGCATCCAGAGGGATGGCCCTGCATGGCACGCCTGCTCTCCGCACCCTGCGGCACCGATCCGGCCACGCTGCCCATGGCTGTGCCCGAGCTGGGGCTGGCCAGTCCCTGAGCCCAGAGCTCCATGGGGGCAGAGCTACCAGTCTGCTCTGACACCCCTTCACCTCTCTCTGTGGGACACGATAACTCTGAAGTCCTCCCCAGAGACACGGGCCACAGCAGTTAAACAACAGTTAAACACAAGCCACCAAACTGAAGTTCAAAGCCTTGAAATAAGCGTTACGGCTAGGGAAGAAACACTTTTACACAGAGTTGTTGGAGAGAATTTGCAAAGGCAACAGAAAGGTCAGTGAGAGGAAAAGGAAAAGTCTGTATTTGGCTCCAGGAAGGGAACTGAACACAGTGGAATGAACTGGAGAGGGGGGGAATATCAGGCGAAACAAATGCTGCTAAGTTAAGATTACAATTAAAACAGTAAATTGACGTCATTTTCTCCATTTTTCTAATGCGTATTAGGACACAAAGCAAGACCTGTCTTGGTCAGGAAGTACCAAGAACATGGACAGATTCCCTGTGGGGACTGAAGCTCTGCCTCTGATAGTGCATCCTCTGGGTCACTGAAAAGACTAGCAGGAGCACCACCACCATGCCCCCATCAGCTCTCTCCTGAACGTGCGGGCACCCAGGAGTACCAGGAGGAGATGGCATTATTCTAATGAGACAGCACTCCGATACCATTACTTCTTAAAAGTCACAGCTGTGTCTGCCAGCAGGCAAATGGCACACAGTAAACAGGCAATGTCTCCCTCTCAGCAGAGGTGCCAACCTCCAACCCACCAGTCTAACTGCGCATCTCTTAACTGCGCGTTTTTCCTGTGCTCACCTCTAGGACTCCCTCTGATGCACACTTGGTCCCCCTAGTTTCGGGAGATTTTAGGACTGGGAAGCTGCAGCTGACACTGGGGGCTGCTTCGTCACACCCCGCCCCCCTTCATCCTCCCCCAAAACAGCCAACCTGATTTATTTCCTTTTGTTTCAAAGACTCGCTCTGTGCCCGAGGGGCATTTTGTAATTGCTTAGAATGGAAATGTTAACAGCTTCATACGCTGGTGGAAACCCGGGGCTGGGACTCATTAGGCAGAGCTGTGCATGAGGGGTGATGGGAGAGCTCCCGCACCCCCAGGGCGGCTGGGCTGGGGTCTGCCTCGGGCAGGCAGGATATCAGCCTGGCCACGCAGGATGCCAGCCTGGCCACGCAGGATGCCAGCCGGCACTCCTGAGCAAGTGGGGCAAGCACGGCATATGCTGGGGATGCCTCCAGCACCTCTCTGCCCCTGGGCAGCATCCTAAAAATCAGGGGGAAAGGAGGGAGCGGGACCCGCTACACCTCCTCTGCTGGGCTGCTTTGGGGCACCCAGGGAAAGGGACAGGGAAAGGACATGGCTTCAGGACACAGGCATTACTTGTCTCTATGTCAGTGCAGTTAAAAACCGTCTGTCACTTCTAATGAAAAAATTACACTAGAAGCAGAAATTTCCACACAGCTTTTTAAGTCAATGACAGCAACGTGTATATCTCTGAGGTGGAAGGAATAGAAATTTGCTTTGCAGCCAACAACTAAGAGTCTAGATAAATTCAGCGGAGCAGAAAATTGCATGTGAGCTATGTTGTAAGGGTACATCACAGTATTTTATTACATATTTGAAAAATCTGCCCGATTTTCAAAAGCTGTGTCTGTGTGCTGTAAGAGAGCTCCACATTTAAATTTAATTAACTTTAAAAGGACACTCTAAAGTTATTTTTTATAATTAAAGGTTATTAATGATTTTCAGTTTTTTCTTGAAACTACTTTTGTTCCTCTTGTGTTGAAATACAGTAATTATTTGAGTTACTAATGATTTCTATGCTATCAATGCTTATTTTACTGGTCTTGGAAATAACGTTAATACAAACATGACTGACATGGAATAAAGTCCTATACTGTGCAATAGTTTGGGAATTACCAACCTTGGCAACATCTCCTTATGGATCACTGTACTGAAGAAGATGACTGTATTGTTTTGCAAAGCCTCCTTGCTATCTCCAATGTATTTGAGAGACATGAATGCTGCTTACGTGCATGTTCTTATACACCATACTGTAGTGGTGTGCAAACATCATTGCACATAAAGTGCAAAAGTTCCTTTTTTATGTTTGCTGCCTTTGTTTGCAGGCAAGACATACTCGAGAACACTTAAAAAATACTGATTTTGAAGCCTTGATAATTGTATCCATCTGAATTAATGCAAACTCCTTTTATGTGTGCAAAGAGGGGAAGTGCCTGATGGCTCCCAAACTGTCACCAACTGATCTGGAGAACTGTCTTCAAACATTTTAAACTTGAGCAGCAGCAGCAGCAGGTTGGAATAAACAGCCTAAAGAGAACACTTTCAGAATACAGGAATAACCAAATGGATTTGCCATGTTCAAAGACAAGGCAATTAATAATTAATGACTCCAAGACAACGGAATATTTGATATACCTGCCACTTAATTAGCTGCCCGGCTCACTGAGTTAAGCATGTAGTTTTATTTTTTAATGTTTTTTTTTTTTTTTTTAA